GAAACCAATTACCATGCCTTGTATGTTGAAAACAATCCAATTAATTTAAGTACTGTATTACTCTCGTTACTCGAGATCCGATATAGCCCAACACCTGTATAGCCCACCTCTGTTCCTCTTTACAGTCATCGTAATCTCAAGATTGCTTTCTTATCGATCGAGAAGAGTTTCCGGTTCGCGACTCGCCGCGCAGGAAAACGCACTCCTCGCATTGGATTTTTTTCCGCCACGGTAATCACCGTTCCTTTACACGACGCCGTTTCATTGGACGCACGTGCACGAACGTAAAATGCACGGCTGCGTTGAAAAGAAGGGCTTTTGCACGGCTCCCTTGGAGGCCGTGGGGAGTCGATATCCGGCATACGATTCCACGAGGTGGAAGGAACCGGTTAAATATTCGATCGGCACGGTTTTTTTCAATGGGGCAGAATTTAGATAGTAGGCCGAGCCAGAAATGCAGCGCGATCTTTATTTATAGACAGTTGCATTCCCAGCCCGATTTTTAAAAGCCGCCTCTCTGATCTAATCCTTTCGGTGTTCTATCTTCGCTTTAATCATTACATTTCGATCGTTGTATCCGGATGAGTTTGGAGAAAGTTTGTTTTGTAATTAACGATAGTGAAATTTTATTTTTATGTCGCGTTCTGATCTGAAAATTTTCTTTTAACGCCTTAAGTTTTATTCTTTGTTTGTTATTTGAATCAAAAATTTTCTTACTTTCTCAGACTTTGATAAATCATCGATAATTGTAAAAATCGAGGTTTTAATAAGTATATATAAAATAGATAGAAATTAGAACTGATTTAAATTTTATCTATCATTCCATCAAATCAATTTATGGTTCCAAGAATCGTTATCATAGTCGCAAAAAAGAAAAACTTTTATACATAAATTCCAGCAACTACGCAACATCAATCGCATAGAAAACGTCTCGTATATGCATAGTAAGTGCCTCTCATGCGGAAACGCGCATACTAGACGAGACGACGTCATTGTTATCTTGTTCTATTGACAGTAAGATCGCCGCACACTATTCTTCTTCGATTCCTTTGCGTGGAAAGCCGATTGTATCTCGGAAAATTACAAAACCAGTTACGAAATTTCAGTTTTCTCCGTGGAAAAGCTCCTTTTCTTGCAATGTGTGCATGAATTGCATACTTAAAGAAGATTGCAAGAAATTTTCTATTTTAGAACTTGTCAAATTTTCTTTACTTCCTGTAAATTTAAAACATTTATCATTGTGTAACTTTTGAAATAAATAATCAGGAAAAAAACAAAACAAAAAAGCCACTCACTCAAGAAACTCATCTGATCGTTAGAATTCAAAGTTACGTAAAGTCTTCTTCATCATAGTAAATTTTATACGATACAAGATATCCAAAATAGCAACTAACGATATATATATTTTCTTTCAAAATATTGATATAATTTAACTAATAAAAAAATATATATACACTATAAAAATATACAATACACTATAAAAAAATCGTCAATCATAAAAAAGTTCAATATTTAATAATCCAAAGAATAACATAAGACACTTAAGGATCATCAAACCAATAAAATTTTGATTGATTTCAAAATATTTTGTTTCTGTAATTCTGTAAAAAACAGACAGATAATTTTTATTAAAATTGAACGTAATCAGAACGTAATTATTTTCATTAATTCTACAGTTAAGTTTAATTAACTGTATCGCAAGATCTGACGTTAGAAAGGAGAACACGTAGAATCGTAAAGAATTCAGAACACGATAGAGATTAAGCGTGAATGGCCGAGTTGACTAACCATTCGATTTCGTCGATGAATGCAAATATTTGTGTTCGGTCGGCTCCTTTCCGGTTTTGACACCGGTGCACGTGCACAGAGGATCTCTCGCGGCTTCCTGCCGCGTCCCCGATATATTTTTAAAAGCGTGAATCTCCATCGCCTGTGGAGAGAAATCTCGCCGTGTCTCGATTATTTCAGGAATAAGTAGACTGCCGGAGGTTGGTAGGTAGGTTGATGAATTTTACCAGGCTAATTGCACGACGTCCGACACTTAATTGCGAGTCATACCGTCATCTCGTTACCGATGACTACTTCCAACTACTTGATGGATCGTTTAAAATCTCTGAAAAATCTTGTTTATAGTAATTGAAATATGATTCAATCCTCGTACGCGCAAAATTTTTGACATCAACTCGTGATTTTCTAATAATAGAATTGTAATCTTGGAATCGAGATTAACAAACAGATACGTAGCGAGCGTCAGCTCATTTAATTGGATTTTAAAAATTTTTTTAATGAGAAGATAAGTTCATGTTTCAATGAAAAAAAAAAAAAGAAAAAAAGTATTTAAATATTGATACAAAGATTAATGGAATCGTGATGATGAAGATTCGATATAGAAAATGATTTTGTTTGTGACTCGAGAGATAGAAAGGATTTGGATAAAATTCACCATCTGGTATTTATTCGATCGAGGATAAAAATATGAGATATGAGATTGCATAATTGAAGCAAATGGAGATCGACAATGAACTCAAGATCACGAACGAATGTGTAATCTCATTAAAAATTTGAAAAAAAAACTTTCCCCTTATCAAACGATTTATATAATTTTAAATGAATTTTATTAAAATCAATTTATTATTTTAAATTTAAAATATTTCTTGTTATATAATATATAATACAAATTTAATTTGTATTTAAATTAATAAAAATATTTTTATTTGATCGAATTCATACATGATACGATTCAGAATATAAATTTTGATTAAAAAAGTTAATAAATTGACACACACGGTTATTAATAAACTCTTCTCGTCTAGTTTCCTAATTATATATCTGAGAATACACGAGAATACCCAGAATCCCTCGACCTCTTAATGTATTCTATTATAGACGACAAGGAAGCATCGAGACACGGGAAAATTCCAGGAAAATCTTTTCAAAGAAATTCACTATATTTCATTTCACAGAGATATAATCGCAGAATTTGTGTAACGCACAAGAGAAGTGAAACTTTCCAGCATGTTGGATCTCATACTCGTACATCACTATTAAACTTTTATCAGACAGAATTACATACTACGTGTTGGAATCACGGATTAAAATTGATGAATCATTGCGTTATAATTGCAACGTTATCTGGCAAACGGTTGTCGCCTCAATTTATACAGCCTGGTTATAAATTTAATAAACGATTTTAAAAATTCAACTTTCCCAGAAGAATCTATTTCCTTTTGGAATATCATATTTTTATTACAAAACAAATTTTAACTCGACATTTGTGATTCAATTTAAACTACTGAATAAATCAAAACGAAGAAGAAACGGAAAAATATACGATCTAGAAATTATTATCGTTAAAATTATCTACAATTCATATATAAGCAATATAAATTGTAGATATTTCAATTGGAGATAAATATACCGATCGTTCCAAAAGAATAAATTCAAATAAACGAAAACTCCTTTCAAACCTCCATCATTAATCACCATCATTAATCTCAATTCTCTGATGTTCGTGCTATATATATATACACAGTCAAAAACTATTTCAATTCCGCCACTCTTACCACATCCAAAGATTAATTCATCTTTCAATCGCGTTCACATCGGTCGATCGCTCGATCGAGGAGACAAATCGATGAAGTTCGACACACCGTTTACCCTCGCCAAATACACCACCGTTTTTCCAATTCGCGACACAGGTGAACAAGCATGTCTTCAGCCTTACCTTCGGGCAAAGGATGTAGGGTCACCGCCGTTGACAAACGTCCGCTTCCCGTGGAAACGAGATGCGGCGCTTCCGTTTGCACACGCAACGCTCGCCCAGCCTCGCGCACCTCAAGACCGGCGGTCGCCATGCCTGGACAGAAAAAAAGAAAAAATAATTAGTGAAAATTGGTCATGAGTATTGAAATTAATCATAGAAATCGTGTTTGAGTTACAGCGCGATATAATTCATGAAGGGTGTATTAATTTTTGTGGATATTTTATCATTGGGTTGTTGCAAAACTCTCTCCCCTTTCTTGTATTGTATTCTTTGAAAGATTCGTAATATTATTCTCGACTTCAATTTTTTTAGAAATGGAAATTTTTCTTTTTATTATTTTAAAAGAGAAAGATTGTCAATCGTTCCATTTAATGCTGGATTAAATTAAAGATGAATGTTTTCCTCAAATTTTTCAAAGTTCAGCACAAAAATATGGCCGTCCACAGAGAATCAAAGCAGGAAAGAGGAGAGATTGTTCGAGATTGGATTTCGTGTCACCGAATTCGTGATACAATCGATTCCAATTGCTCACCCTATATATCTCAAAAACCGCGACGTTTTTATTCGTATTACGGCCCTTCATATTTTTCAATTTAAAAATTATAAAGGAGAGGAGGATACACGGCGCCGGTATCAATGTCAGATTGCACAGGATACACCGATGCCGGGACACGAAAATTATGCAGGCATCGGGATCACGTTGATAAAAAAAAAAAAAAAAAAAAAAAAGAAAGAAAGAAAAAAGGAAGATCCTTTTCTCACGTTCGTGGCACAAGTTGTGCCTCCTCCGCGCGGCGTATACCCACTAATTTATCATGACCCGTGACTCCAGTGAGACGAGGGGTACGAGGAGGAGGGATGGAGACGAAGAAGAGGGATAAGAAAAAGAAGGGAAGGAATATAACAGAAAAAGAATCCCGGCCATCCCGAGGAGACCGGTTTCTTCTCGTTCTCTTCGCCCCGTCCCTTCTTCTTCGTCACTTATTTTTCTCGTCTCGCGCCGGTAAATCGATCTCATCCCTGAGTCTTCGACAAGATCGAATTCGTTATGCTTGAAGATCGGTAATAGTAAAATCTGGAAATAAACGACATGATTGAAATTGGCATTTCTGAACTCCGTTTAAGGATGGATCGTTCCATCTTTTCATCCTGTTGCGAAAAAGAGAGAAGAAGCGAAGATATGCGTTACAGTTGCAATTTATCGTGATTATTATTATTTTTGATGTAATAAATTCTATAAGGGAGAAATTAACGATAGCATCGATTTGCTTTTCTTCTTCTTTCTGTGAATTCTTGTATGTGAATTTTGTATGAAGAGAATCTCTCGATATTTTTTCGATTGTCGAAATGTTATTTTATTTATTATTCTTTACGCGTTGTAGTAATTTATGTATGAGCGAAAAGATATAATTTCTACAAATAAGAATGTGTATATGTAGTTTTGTTTATATAATAATCAGTATATTCATTTAGAATGAAAATACTTGACAATTTTCAAGTGACTGAATTCTTGAAGAGTTTTCACTTTGCAGGATTTTCTGAATACTTGAAAACTGGATTCGAGGAAGTGCTTCGAACGTTTTAAATTCCAGGAACTCATTAAACCATTGTGGTAACTCAAAACGTGTATTTTTAAATATTTAATTCACTTATCCTAAGCATCTTATCTTGTTAAATTTAAAGATGGCTTTAACATGATCTTTGTTTGAAACTCTTTGACAAATATTGAATCAATAAATTATTATAATTATAGGAATCCTATTTCCTTTATTTTTACTTTAAAATTTCAAAAATTTCATTATTGATAATCTTTTTAAAATCATATTAAATAATTGAAAAATTCTTTCTAAAACATACCTCGTAATGATATAAATATTTAAATGAAATTTGTTCGATACAATAATTTTATCACTGATTCGTCAAAACTACCCACAATTTCGTGGATACGTGTAGAACACACGTTCGGATAACTCGAGTAAAAAGGCATTATTTCCTCATGTCAGAACACGATAGTTGAACGGTACAGTCTAGCGTAATGCACTTAATTAAAGTTGTTTCAACTCGTTAAGATCGTTCGCACGGGATGAACAACCCTATAAACGGCGGCAATTCGTCGACAACTGGAACGACAGTTTTCATCGTGGAACTTCGTTTTCATCGAATCTTCTTCTCCCATGTTGAGAATTCACTTCGTTGTAGTTATATTCCATTCACGATCTTCAATAAAACAAATTTTTTCATTTTATTTCTTTGATTAATTAGTTGGATTTTCCAAGACAAGTATTGTATTTTTAATAGTATACAATTTGTTGATAATTTAATTGGTGTATCGATGATTTTTTTCAGTATTCTGTGCCATCCAAATTTTTTGAATAAACTTCAGGATTGCTTATTACGAAACAATTGACCACATTTTTCTTCACATGTAGTTTAATAGTATATTAATTGATGTATAAGTAGTCGATCCCTTCTTAGGAACATATTAAAAGCATATTAAAAGCAAGATAAGATAATATTATACATCTCGCAATTAATAAACAGATAAAAATATTATTCGAAAAATCGCTGCTATCTTTTACAAGAGAAACTTGATTACTTTTATTTTAATCGTATTTTAATTAATTGTATTTATGAATTATATTTAGAAATATTTATTATTTTTATTATTCAAACATGTTGTTGAAAAGTTTCCTGTATCTTCTGACACAAAATATTTCTTTTTTTATTTTTTTAAGGAATAGTGGTCCATTTTTCTATACAATATTTTAATATTGTATTGAAAAAATTGTATTGAAAAAATTGTATTGAAAAAGAAAGTGTCCTACATATTCTAATATTACTCCAAGTATTCGAAGAACTATGAAGAGAAAACATAATCTTGGATATAGTAAGTTCTTCTAGTATTTACACCCTCGATCATTTAAAAAATGTGCCTGTAAACATATTGAGAAATTTAAAAGGAAAACGAAGACGCAACTTTGCATTCCATTGATATTTTCCTGTAAAGTCAACAAAGTGGATTATTTTTAATCATCTCACTTAATTCCTTGCTATTTTCGAATAACTATGGATCTAAGAAGGTGGAGCATTTTTTAACTTGGCTCTGACCAAGTTAAAGTTTTTTTATGTAAACGAATTAAGATAGTAGAATAAAATGTCTTCCAAATGCTCAGGATTCGAGCAATCAGAGAACAATTTTTTAAATTATTTTTTAAATTAATATATATATATATTATGATTTCTGATATCTTAACTTCTTTTTTAAATAAAAAAATAATGATTATATCGTACGATTTTATATTTTTGTATATTTCTATCTATTCTTATCTTGAAGACAAGACCTGTATATCTCAAGAAATAATAAAAAAATTAACCAAATATACAAAATTTCGTGGAAGATTTTTAATCAAAGAAGACAATATTAAAAAACGAACTTGTCAAAAAGAAGGACACGTAAAATCATCATTGTTTATTATCACACCTTAAAAATTACGCGTTTCATGTGCTACTAATTATACATTCCTATAGGATGAGCGTGCCTCGAACCTCGAAGCAATTTTGTTTTTTCTTCGACAGTTTACGAGCGTATTTTCGTAACGAAACAGCGCACGCAATAACCGGATGCTTTTATTTCCCGGTTGAATTTTTCCAACCCTTCTCCTCCTTTCCCTCTTCTCCTCGCTGATAATAATCCGAAAAGGAACGCAATTCGTGGAAGACTCTCTTTTGATACGGATAACTATTCCAATCTTGCTCTGGCTCGTGTTTCAGTTGCTCTGTTTCTTACTCGAAGATAGAACGCCATAGATCTCGTATTTCTAAATGTTGAAAGCGCTCGAGAAATACGATAGCTAGGGGGGGTTTCCAACTGATTGTGCTCCTCCTCTTCATCAATAATCGATTCATCCCTTTCCTCGGTACAAATTCGTTACGGATTTTTTGCTTTGAGCGAGTATAGATTATTTTGTATCCATATTTCTTGATATTCATTATATTTTTTGAGATTTGTTGCACGATTAAATTATTTATAAATGGAGGATTTAAAAAATCAAATTTAATTCAAGAAAAATTCAAGGGAAAAAAACGTTGCAACTACCGTACGATTTATCTTAAAAATAAAAATGTAACATTTTAATTACCGAGAATACAAGAAGTCGTAATTTAAAAATTGTCAAGAGTGTGCAGCTGCTCGATAACATCGGTTCGATGCTTCAAACCTTTTAAATTCTTTCGTACGAACGAGGGACACACCTGCTCGTTCGCAGGTGAGCTCAGGTAAGGATAAAATTATCCTAGCACGCAATTTCTGGACTTCATACGACTTTTCTTTACAAAACCGCTATATTCGATCAGTAACAATGTTGATAATTAAATAATATCTTCTTCTTTTTAAATAAAACATCCCCTCCCCCGCGTGTTACAAAGTTCTCGACTTTAATCTCGCGATAGAGTGATGTTCTTCTACTTTTTCCAACTAATTCAATTGCGTTCAAAGTAAAACTGAAATAAGATAGTTAATTTACAAAAATATAGCTATAATTATTTTCAAAAATTCACCAAATTGCAGATTGTAATATTTTTAATACCGGAGAATATTCTTAAAACTTATAATTAAAATTAAAAAACGCGTGCATGAAATCGTTCCACGATTCAATATATTTTATAAAACTCTGTATTCCTCGCAACGACATCAAAGATTCCGAAAGAGATGAGGGAGGAAGACACGTGTGCAACGTGCTTTCCACGCAAGTTCTTCTCGTACTCTCGTTTTCTTTTTCGACAGCTAGACTAAAGGCTACGGCAAAAAAAGAAACAGAAACGCGCTGTTGTTGAAAGAGTAAATCGTAAGTGGCGAGATTGATCCCAAGTACGAGTTTTCGAGATTACACGCGTAGTTCTTGAGAATCAAAGTATCGAGAAGTCGTTCGAGAGAGGTGTTTCGAAGTGGGAGACGATTAATCTTGCTTCGTGCTAATAATTTTATGAGAAAGATACGCAGCAGAAAAATTAACGAGAACAGTGTGCTTTTGAAAAGTGGGTCAATTAAAAAGGTTCGCCAAGTGTATCTTGTTTTTCTTGAATTAAACGACATAGTTGTGCGAAATATTTAACGAGTATGATGATTCATGCAACTTGCGAACAAGAATGTGATATATAATTTTTAATCTGAAATTTAAATCTTTTTTTTCTTCTGAAAAGTTTTTCATTCAAAGTACACAAATTAAGCTTTGTGTGAGAACTTTTATTTCACGGCTGGAAATTCTTTCGGAGAAAAGCAAAATCTGGCTATATAGGAATGAGAGGAATAACAAACAGATTACGATGAAGATTGAGCGAAACCATAAATGCTTGCACTTTATATTATCTAATGCTCGAACGGTTGTGAGAAAATAATTAAAAATATTTCGAAAATTGTTTTATCTGTTGTATAAAATTTTAGATGAAAATATTAATAGAGTATTGATGAATATTAATATTGTTGCCTAATTTAGATTATCCTCAAAATCGTTTTACAAGTTTGTTAAAGAGATAATTTTAAAAGCGATCTGTTTTAGTTGATTGGAGTTGTTTTCGAGCATTAGATGCATTCACGTCGATGAATCATTATTTTTTTCAATATATATCGAGTTATTTACAAATGATAAGTTACAACTAAATTATTTAAGACAAAATAAGATATGTCATTATCTAAGAAGATATTGTCATTTTTTTTTCTTTCTTCAAAATTTGTAATACATAAACGATATCGAAAACAAATACATTATCAATATTGATGATCTTATCATATTACTAATACTATCGATTTGAAAAACAAATCTTTTTTAATTTTCTAATAGTACAATTCGATAAATAAAATCCAAATATACGAATTAAGTTTTAACACTATCGATATTATTAATAATAAAATACTATAATTTTAATAGTATTTTTTAATACATTGACAATAAAAATAAAATTCTTTCTTTGTTCCTTCTTTCAGTGTATTACGCAATGAAGATAAAATACGGTGCCACGAACACGCTTCAAACAAAAATCAAATGTTATCTACAATATTTACCATCTCAAAAACTAGAATACATCGTCAGAGATATCAAATTCGTTCAAAAATCAAAGAAGAATCTAAATCAAACCTATCATATAATCTCAATAATCTCAAAAATTAAAGTACTCCGCCAAAAAAAACACTCTTAAAATTCCATACCATCTCGAAAAAAATAAAACACTCCACATCGTCAAAAGAACTGCCGAAAAATTAAATTAAATGCGATCGAATGCGACTTTAACGTTTCAATTCCCGTATCCCCTATCCACCACTACTACTCCATTTCCACGAAAATAAAATACCCCGCATTACCGCAAACACCGCACGCTCGCCACGCGAAGATTTAATTACTCGACCTTCGCGTCTTTCTCGAAGAGCCCGAATGAAAAGCCGGGGTAGAATATAGAAACGATTCATCCTCGAACCCGATGCGGGCCCGCGTTTTACATTGAAAGGAGGGGGAGGGGCGTAGGCGCGAGACACTTTGAGCCACGGGTTCCACGTTCAGCTGCAAAAGGAGACGTCCGTGGCAAAAAAGCGACCCCGGTTACGGCGAAAGGGGACCAACAGACGACGAGGAGGAGGAGGAGGAGGAGGCCAGGCGGAGGGACGCGTGT